CTATGAAAAATTTGTTCTTGTAATGGAAATAAATTTATGGTGATTAAGAGTAGTGTATCAACAATGAACCTTGCTTTAATGTCCGTTTAATTGGAAGGATAACTAACAGCTAATGAAAAGAGTAGGCTTTTCTAAGTTGGATTATATCATTTTACTTTAAATTTGGCCTGCTAGAATTTGAATCTCCACCCTAAAATAATAAAAATGAGATATTCGCACTATAAAAATAATTTTCTCTTTTGTGCTTTACACAAATACTTTTTAGTCAACTTACAAGTATATCACGTGATAAAACGGTTAACTGTTAGTTTTTTGTCGAAATTCTAACAGAAAACTAAATAATAACATTATTTATATTTCGAGTGTCATATAATAACAGTTTAAATGTTTGGTACTACACGAATATAGTAATTAAACAACTTTATGTGTAATTAACTATTATTTATTTAATTTTGAAATATTATATTTTGTAGAAAACTTAAACGAAAGTAGAACTTTGTGATTGTTGAAGACAACCTATCATCCACTTGAAAGAATCTGGCTTTGCTTATACATCTTACTATATTAGAAACAAAAACCATACTTAAGAGAAAGCACCACCATTTGTCATGTGGCATTTCAACATCATATTTTTAAAATAAATTTTTATTTCCACATCTCCTAAACTTAAAAGGCAAATGCAGTCTAAATTCACCTCCACCTCCTATTTTTGCCAAAAACAAAACCACAGGTTCATAAAAATTCCAAATCCTCATTCCCATCTCCACGACAATCGACTCCCTAGTCAATCCCTTCTCCACAATTAAAAAAAAAAAAATTCCTCATCAATCATCAATTGAGAGTATGTGGTGAAATATACTCCTTTCCTATTAGCATGTTCAATATTTTCATTAGTGATGATCAACTACATCCTAATCGGATAAAATTTCAACTTCAGAAAATATTCTCTTTACCTCTCTATATAAACACAAAGGGAAAAAAAAAATTCCCATTGATCTTGCTTCGGCCATTGTGATGGTGGCATTATAGGTATTAAAATTTAAATGATTTTATTTCCACAGATCATTGGTTCAGCTTTTATTATTTTTTATTTTTCCCGTTCAAGAATAGTGTTATTACTATTATTTTTATGCGTCCATCCGTTATAGCTACCGTAACCGTTGCCAGGTAATATAATGTGATTTCTTATTTGGTTAGTTAGGTTAGAATTTTTGTATGATTTTAGTTATGTTTGGATTGAATTGATTAATTGGGTTTTTATTACAAAATATGGTTTTTTAAATTTCTTTTTTATGTTTCATTCAATTAGAGTGGTTTTCTTTTTTTAATTATGGAGTCTCAGGTGTTTTTTCGTATATGGCCAATTATGAAGTGTGTTTTTTTTTTTTTTAATTACTTTTGATTTTGTTTCATACTCCCAATTGACCAATTATTATTATTATTATTATTATTATTATTATTATTATTATTATTATTATTATTATTATATTTGCAAATGAAGCGCGCTTTTTTTTGTTCGGGGTTTCAAGAATATACTTTTTTGGATTTGGTTTTTGGACTTTTTTTTAGTTTCTCATTATATAAATAGTTCAGGTCGCTTCTTCTAACTAATTTATGGGGAAGCCTTTTATGAATTTGAGGTGGAGAGGGAAGGAATGATGTTTTTACATTTATTTGTGTTTTTATACATCATTTTTACCTACAGAAAAAAAAATCTCAAATTTTAATGGGCTATCTTTTACTTTTTTTCTTTTTTTTTTTATTTGTCATGGTGAGGTGAGTTATTTTTTGCTATATCTTGAAACCTATGCAAATTTGCATTATTTTCATTCTCATATTTGTGATCAACCAGTTTCAACAATTAACCAGTTTCGAAATCATATTTTTGATATTTTACTACCTATAAACTTTTGGAAGAAATAGTTCCAACAATTAAGCGTATACCCGTTGGAGGAAGCTAACTACAAAGCTATTATAAATCTCCAAAACTAAGTACAGATTTGGCACAACTAATGGAGAACATCAATGAATTATCTTACTAATATTTAAACTTATTAGGATGTTTTTATATTTTGTCTAGCATTTACTTCAAGACATATATTTGATCAAGTTTATTTATATTTAAGAAGTAACACTTATAAAACATTTCTAAAATCTTCAAACATTTTTAAAACGTACCGGGCCAAATATAATTTATTTTTATGCCAAATACAAACATCACACTTATAAAACATTTCTAAATTCTTCAAATATTTCTAAAATATATTGGGCCAAATATAAAATATTTTTTTTTCCAGATACAAACATTTCTAAAATCTACAGATATAATGGGTCAAGGTCGCGCATTGCGCGACCAGACATCACTAGTACTATGAGATATGAGCCGTCCAAACTTCATCTGGAAAAATTTGGACAGTAAAACTAATTTAATTACAGTGTAAAATTCATCACTGAAGATTCCAATCATTAATCTTGTCCACAAAACTGTTACTATTAAGTACGTAAAATCCATCATCTCTCACATACCAAGTACATTCACGGTTTTTACCACCAACGTTTATGCAGTGGTTTTTATAAATTCTTCTATCGAAAACAGCCATATTTCTGGTCTTGTTTGTCCAGTAAAATGTGCAATAAAACTTAGTGTCTCCAGTAATACTTAGACGGAAATGAAAACTGAAAATATCATCGGGACGAAGATTATGCCAACCGAGACCATTATCTCCAGAATAACAATTGAAAGTAAGATTATGTTTGTCATCTCTTGGCAAATCGTCCTTAATAATGACTCTGTAATGATCATTTACCCCTTGTGGTTCTACGTCGACATGATCAAGAGATTGAGCACGATTTGGTGTGACCAAAACGAAAATGAAGAGAAATAGTAATAGTAAGGCAAAGGGCATTTGGAAAGTACTCATCTTTTGTTGTTGTAGATTTTTGGGTGAGTTATTTTTGTGATGGTCAAAGTTATATTTATATTCCAGGCAAAGGGTGATGGACATTTAAGAGGATATTCAAGAGGATGGTGGACATTTAAGAGTATATCTGGTAATTTTGATGCGTTAACAAAATGGAGATATTTATAAGTCATAAAGTTTGGTAAATATTTAAGGAAATTTATTGCACATTTTGATTTTTTTTCTTTATTATTTTTTTTTTTTGCATTTTCTTAATTGCTTTTCTCAGAAGAGGAACACATATGTGGAGGAAAAGAAGAAATGAGTAGAACTAAGTGCACTCTGTATCTTCTAGCATTCGAGGTCCATCATCGATTTAAAAGTGAATGAAGTCAAGTCAATTATAAGCACAGATATATTAATATGGAATTGAATAGGATAAAGTTAATCAAATTTTACACTCTCGGTCTCAATATCATTTTTTTTTTCAACTTTAACTATTTATCGGAAAAATAATTCACAACCAAATCAAAAAAAATCCAACTGCATCTGAAAAATTGGTTTCATAAAACTTCCTGTAAAAACTTCATAAAGTAAAACTTCCAACCCAAAAAAAAAAGAAGAAAAGATTGAACTACTTAATCAAATAAAATTTTCAACAAACGGAATACATTATAATCAAGAAATTAAAAACTGGACCCAAACCATTAATTATATATCTTATTCATTCTCATTATTATTCACCATTGCATGTTAACTGTCAGAAAGAATAAATATTCTTCTGTACGAATCAACTAGAAAACTAATGTTCTTGAAACTACCAAAATAGATACATGTTCCTTAATCCAAATTGTATCCTTTGACATCTAACTTCATCGTTAGACACGATAGAATTAAAAATTTTAAGACGCCACAGGGTAGCAGGTAGCGGTTATGCAAAAAGAAGCGGTTCGAATAGCGCCTCAATCCTTAGTGATTACTGATTAGGAATGGCCGAAAACGAGAGAAATTAAGAGGAAATAAATCAAATTATTATCTCTAAAAATCATAAGTGAGAGAGTTATGGGTAATTAATATAATTTTGTAAAATAAAAGTGTCTCTCAATTTATTAATTTGTAAATTTTTGCTTCATATATATATCTTCTCTTTCGGATAATCGGAAATCACCATCTTTTCTGTCCAAATTCGGGATGATATCCTTTTTCCTATATCTAGTCAGCAACAAATCACGTTAGTAGTAGGAAACTACGTAAAATACCTCGGTTCGGATTAAGTCCTTAAACAATTTCCTTTTCCGTTTATGCCAAAGTTTTCTAACTATAAATAGGGTATGGCCGAATTTTATTTTTTTTTTTGGTGATGACAATAATCTGTGAGGTCGTACTTACTTTAGGGCTTTCACAAAACTAATTTTTCGGATTCCCCTTTCCACTGATAAGTTAAAAAGTAGGGGTCAAGCAATCAAATCAAGGTGTATCTGGGTCAAGTATAACCTAAGTGCTAGCTTGTGTCGCAATTTAAGTTTGGGGCGTAGATCAATTCAAGGTTTTTTCTATCCCACAGATTTGTTGTTGGCAACTTTTTTTTTTTTTTTTTCATATTTACAGGGCGTCTACCATCAGCAATCATAACCGATATTAAATAGTGACCGTGGGTATCAGTGGCAACCCTTCTTGGAACAATAGAAATCCAGAATTGAATCAAAGTATATTCTGGACGTCATAAAATCAAAGAATATTGTAAGTTATTTCTTTTCTACTTCTTGAAATTGCAATTATCAAGTGATTAGAATCATAAACCCCAAAGTTTAGGTTGGCCGCCCTAATATATAGTGTAGAAAAGCAAGCAAGGCGTTAGGTTTTCTGTATTATTACTTTTAAGTCTGATCAATCTACTTTTTGATGTGCTTCAAAGTAGACCGAAATTAAATCAGTACAGAAAAAGGATTTTGGTAGAATCGTATTCCTAATGTAATTTGTTTCATCTATAAAGCAATGTATCTTTCTATTAACTTTTTATTTTTCCCCAAGGACATCTTCTGATGGTTTTTTTTTTCTCCTTTTGTCTTCAATCAATTTTAGCTAGGCATTTCTAGTCCTGGGAAGAAACATGCATAGATCGCGGAAGAAAGTTCACAATGATGATGATCATCAAGACCAGAAAGAGAGGTATCTTCCCATTGAAATCCAAACAGAAATCTTACGTAGATTGCCGGTGAAATCCTTAGCTAGAATGAAATCCGTGTGCAAGCCATGGTGCGACCTTATCCCGGAGTACCCTCCATTTGTGAGGGTAGGCGGCCTCATCAGACATTGTTTTAGCGAGCCATTGCGCAAGGTATTGACGAACAGTGATCTTAGCTGGTATAATAAAAGGCTGGCATTAGTACCCCGAGATAGTGTAACCAGACTCTTGCTGCCAATGTTGGAGCCTAAAGATGGAGATATTTCAAAAGGGATATCGGTTCTTACCTATGATTGGTTGGGTAATAAGTTTCCTATGAGGTTTACGGTCTGGAATCTTGGGACAAGAGTGCAGATGCATGTATTGGTAGGTGGGTGGTATGGCTTATGTTACAAGCATTCAAAAACCATGACCGTCGGCGATAGGCTCATCGTGCGGATGTTTCGAGATCCATCTGATGGAATATGTTTTGCTCTGAGTCTTGTCAAGAGTGGAAGAGAAGACCAATTATTGGCAAATCAAAATAATAATAGAAGATAGGATTGTGAATATGTTTTTTTGTCTTTCTCATAAACTCTATGCTGTAAGAGAATAGGGGCTTATTAATGGGGAAAGAGGTTTTCTTCCGCCACATCTTGGTTCGAATTGATTGTGTTTTAGAAAGTAATATGTAGCATTTGACCATTGTCTATCTGCTTTCTGGAACTTTTCTGTTTGCTTAATTTGACCTAAATGAAATGAGCACAATATTTAGGGTTTTTTGGTGATTAGGAAGGATCGCAGTAAACACATGTAAGCTATCTCCGTAATGTTTTCTCCACTAATCCACGCCCCTTTTGATCAGACAATTAATGGTTTTTACAAGCTTTAAACGTGAATCTTGTTTGTGCTTGGAACAAGAATCTCCCTAGCCAAAACGGAACTCATAAAACCAAATATCACATTACAAAATCTTTCCTTCTATACTTTTCAAACACAGCAAAGAGGAGAAAGCATAAGTCTGGAACCCAAAAAAAAAAATAAATAAATAAATTTGAGATCGCCAGTTCCTATATCACTGCGGTTTTAATTACTCTCCCTCATCTGATAAATTGAGAGGTAGATATAGATTTCATTAACTACCTACTTACCCTTAAGATTTTAAGGGAATTGCCGTATTTATTCCCCTTGATGTTTTCCCTCCTTTCCTTGATCTGGCAACCTTAATCTTTAGTATTTTTTAACTTTAACAATTTAGTGGAAAAATAATATCAGTACCAGATCAAAAAATCCAACCGCATCTAAAACATAGATTTCACAAAACTTCCTGTAAAAACTTCATAAATTAATCTTCCAACCAAAGAAGAAGAAAAATTGTGAACTACTTTATTAAAAGACATTCATTAATCAACACTTACATACTTTTACACTACATGTGCTCTAGATGCTAGAAAACATTTTGGTAGAATGATCACCAACTTGGCAACTTATTTCAATACTTATGATTTGAAAAGTCTGAAGGTGTACGGCTAGCTATTACATTTCATCAACAATGCCAACATCTTGCATTAACAATACGCCATACAGATATACTTCTCTTATGGTCAAATGGTGAAAGGAAATATGCCGTACAGATAAATAAATACAGAATCCGTAAATGATTAATTTATTATTTTTCATCGATATACGGTGTCATTTCATGAACCATTTTCACTTCAAAAAAGTACTCTTCCGTCTCATAAAATTTGTTAGCGATGAATTTTGAAATTTATACAAATTTTTATGAGACATATGGAGTATATCGTAAAATCAGATATCCATGATGTGTTTGCTGTGGCAAGCAGCACGGCACTCCTGGTTTGATTGATTGCATTTCTCATTGCAATATCTTTGACTCTTGCCATCATCATCCTCAATGACACATGAATTCATGCACACAAATTCCTTGCTTTTGTAACATTCAGCCAAGCAGCCACAAAGATTGATGCATTTTCTCATTATCTCACCATTATATCCTCCTTTCTGGTAACAATTGACCGAACAAGGACTAATGGACAATATCCCTGCTGATTCTCCTAATTTTGCACTTAAAACTAAGGAAAGAAGTAGCAAAATAATTGATAGCTACTTATTTGCCATTGAGATGAGAAATTATACTAATTGGGTTAGAGGGAAGTTTGATAATTTTAGAAAAGCATAAAGGGGGAGGCTTTTGTGTTTATTGATTCACTCATCTCTTGGTATCGATGTAGACCTATTTATAGCGAACACGGTAGCTCAGGTTTTAGTCTTGGGTACTCAGAACCGTCCATAATTTCGTCACATAAATTATTTTCCGTAATTTTGCTATATTATTTTGACCTCTAGCATCAGTGAGTCGTGCTATTACACAACCAAAAAAAAAAAAGGCAATTTTTCGCTTCGAGATGGATTCATTGGTTAGGCCCAAAGCCCCGAACACTAGGATAATAAATCCACTTTTCTCATTTGGAATTCTAAAATTTGGTAGATGTTTTTTATCGCATAATGAACGAGGCCAAATTAGCTAAATGATCAGCTAACACGGATGAGTAAGACGTTGAAGCCTTCGGGGACTTAAAGACGTCGCATTAGCTAAATGATCGATTACAAAGTTAAGCTCTCGAAAGATATGTTCCAGTCTTATAATCAAATTTCGCTTGAAAAGATCACAAATGCCCCGAAATAGGCCACCATGCATGAATTCCTAAATCCTCCTCATCCCTTTGCACCGTAATAGGAGAAATTGACTATTCTTCGAGAAAGCTGTGAAACGACAGGAGAAAATTCTTGGATTCACAAAAGCTTGGGAGAGTTTTTTTTTTTTTTTTTTCCCTCTACAACAGCGAAAGAATAAAAATTACTCCGTTAATAATCCATTTAGTTATGATTACCTACTATTTTTTATGAAAATGAAACTTTAGATATTATTAGCAATATAATGGAGAACGTATGCACAATTATATTAGGGTCCTGACGGAGCACTTTTTCTAATTTAAAAAAAAAACACAAAAATTAAAAATTTATTTAGAACCCTCACATAAAATGTGGGCTTAAAGCTATGTCTTTAGCTACTGGACCATAGAAGTACTCATTCTTCTAGAAGTGGACTGTATTATGATGACATCAATTTCGTTTTCTGGAAAAGAATGGATAGATTTTGAGTTTTCATTTATGTGATGGTAGAAAATACTGGACACTAGGCAATTTATATGGTGAACAAGGTTCACCATATAAATTTCAATATGGAATGAAAATTAATTAAAATATTATTAAATTACTCCATTTTCTTTCACTATTAATTTCAAATATCATATTTCCAAATACACCACAAAAGAATCGATATTCCAATAATTTTTTATTACTCTCCTTTTATTAACAATGACTAATGGGGAATTGACAAACAATTTAAATTTACTAAAAAATTATGAAATTTTGATTTATATGTCATGAAAAATTTTATTCTAATTCATGAATTTCCTATAAAATGAGTATGAATATATGAATTCCTAAATTCCAGATTAATATTTTCATTTTTAGTATGAAAATTTGTGTAATTCTCATGAACATCATTGTATATGAGTATAAATATGGTGTTTGGTCTTTTTATATGTGACCAATCTTCCAATTGTCATGAAAATTGTGAAATTTCAATACACGTGATATGAAAAGTATGATTGTCATTCATAAATATTTCATAAAAACAGTATGAACATTTACATGATTAATTTATTGATAGTTCTCCAATTTGTATGAACATTTCACAAAATATTCATGAATAGTGACTAATGTGTGTATAAATATAATATTAAACAGCATGCGACTTTTACTTGTGATTAATATTTATAATTTTTAAATCAAAATCTATGAACTTTATATATGATTTTATTTAAATTTTACATTATATGATCATGAACCTTTAGTTTTATATAAAAGACTATGATTTTAATTCATTGTTATTTCTTTCTATTTGAATTTTTCACGTAGTTATGTGTAAGCTAGAAAATAGGACATCAAAGATTAAATGTAGAGAAAGAATTATCTAATTTTTAAAATATTTTGATTGTTATTATTTTTTAAATAGATTACATTAATTATATTAGTGCACCATATATGGTGAACATGGTGCACAGTATAAGAACTTCAGACACTAAAGTGTTTGTAACTTTCTTTGACACTAGCTTATAAACAATTCAGTCGTTAATCACCATATTGATCATTCTAATAATTACTACCAACGAACTTTCATTGCACTATGATGATATTTTAGTATTTTTTATGAGTTCATTATTTTCGCCATATAATGGCTAAATATCTAAAGAGTGGTGATAAATATAAGGAAAAAATAACAAGTAACAATGACAAGAAATAATGTGTCAAAATCTTAACTATGTCCTAACCTTAAATAAATAAACCCTGTTTGGAAAGTTTTAACAATGGATGGGTGAGATCATTTACTTGTAATTTTTCTTTGTCATTTTTTCCTTGTACCAATCATTATTCGTATTTAAATACTTCAATGTATTTAAAATATAAATGTTACCATCCATGGACTTCTCTATAATGGTTTGCTTCCGACGATTTCTTGTGAGTATTGTAAGCCAAGGATTCTCTCTGATACTTTATTGTGAAACTTAATTATTTTTTATAAATTATATAATTAATTTATAATTTATGCTAATACATTGCCCCATCCTAAACCAATAGAATAGATTTATACTAATTCAATTAAAATTAGTTTTTGATTATTTATTCTTTAGGTGATTTGGTCTTAATTGTCTTGTCTACTTCCTATAATACTGTTTTTTGAGCCAAATCAAAATAGTCCAAATTTAAAGTGAAATTAAATTAGTTTAAGTCATAATTAAATTATTGTAATGAAATTATTATAAAGTTATGAATGATTTTTAATTATAATCAAAATGATGATATGAAACTCAATTCGATTAATACAATCATTATTTTATATATTATACACAGTAACATTTAATATTAACCTATTTTCTTTAAGCCATACCTTAAAGCACTCTCTCTATATCACTATATCTATCCGTGGATTTTTTTTAATTTAAATGCGTAATTCTATATATAGAGAGAGATGCTTATACAAGGTATCAAAGTATAAGAATTTGCTGAGTACACTTATAAATTGTGTATACTTTTTCAATACTATATTTCAATTCCCATAACATTTTCGTTCTAAATCTTTACTATCCAAATACTATACTATACTCTATAAGGTAATGATTTTTGGCAAAGGATGAAAAATTTCTCACTCTCAAGTTGAAAAATTATTGTGGTGACTATACACTTTATTATTATTATTTTTTTTTGTTTTTGGATAAAACTGTATTGTGATGACTATACACTATAGTAGCACCAAAAATCGATGCAATCTAAAATAAGTCATCGACAACCGTATCTGTCCAAATAACAATGATAATATTCAACAAGAGATTTAAAATTTTCAGTCAGCTGAAAATTGTGGTTGTGTATCTTCGTGGAAACAGTTTCTTCTTGCACAAATTATTCACAACCACAACAGGATTACGTATTTGCTCCGTCCCATAATTATTGTCTAGTTTGAATTTTTATTTCTAGTTTAAATTGTATTAAAAATAAAATTTTAAATTAGATAATAATTTTGAAATAGAGAAAGTATTTCAGAAGCATTCCTTCCAATTTCAACGGTTGACAACTTCACTCAATTATTAGTAGTCTCAACTTTGAACCACATGAAATTTCTCTTTCTTACTTTTTTTTTTCATATTTACATGGTGCTCAATTTTAACAATTATAATTTATCTCATTCGTTAAATTGTAAAAACAGTTCGATGATTAAGCTAGATATCCAAAGAATTTAAAATTTCTCTATAATCAAAGTGAGATTCGAAATTCTGACCCATTATTAAGGGTAGATGAGTCTCAAACACTTGTCATACCCATTTTGTTAAAAGACAATCGAATCCAAAATTAAAGTTCCAAAACTGTTGGCGTAGCCAACTTTGGCTCTTTTCTTTGGCTGGCCTCTTGTCTTCAAAACATTGAAAATTTATTAAAATCATGATATCTACTGAAAATATGCGCGTCACAAGTGAAAGTTAACTATGATGGAAGTATGGTTTATAGTACATATTTCTGTGGAAAAATTCGTCATCTATAAGGTCTGACTACATTATATGTGACATAAAGTATATGTGATACTACTTTCACTATTTTCACAATCAAATCATCGGTTCGATTGGTACAAATGGCAGGTTGAGAGAAAATAAATTCTGCTAGCTTCTAGAAAATATGCGGCCGTTAGAGGATTGATTCGAGATCAAAATTAGAACCCCATTTGAGAATTTTCTGAATAATACTATTGATGATAATCAGTAATATTGATGAGGTTTCAAAACAACTTAGGCTATGGGGATGATTGCGACTGAGGTGACCGAAGACAACGAAATGTGCCCCAGAGATGGGTCACACGAATATGCGAATAGTATGTTACACTAATGCATGCATGTTGAGAAATAAATTTTGTGGTCGAAAATTTGGTATTATTTTTTTGATACATTGCGTACATGGTGTCCGAAGTCATTGCTCCAACTAATCTGAATTCAAGCCGGGTAGGTCTTTTTTGATAGGCAAAACTCTCTCAATAAGTATTTTAATCACTGTTACATGTTCTTGTTTGAGTTCGAATCCGGGTCTTAGTTAAACTGCCCTAATACCTTTACCACTTGTACCAAGTGTTTGTTGGTGAAAATTTAATATTATTGATATAATAATTACGTATAACGAAATATTCAAATCTTAATATTTAGACGTGATAGCTAGACAACAGTTCCACCAGGACACCGTGAAATGTTAGTACTACAATTCTAATTAATTCATGGCATTGACCACATCGATATATTTTGACTGAAGATATCGAGAAGAACGTTCGACTAGTAAGCACTCTAGTCTCATTCCTTTTTCGGGTTTTTCATTTCTGGCCATTTAATGCCTTCTGTCTTTTGGAAATTAGTGAAACCAAAGTCATTGCCTCGTGCTCGCTAATTTTGGTGCCGTAGTCGAATGAAGGAATCACAAACAACATAGATGAGAAAAGGTTCACCCTTGAGGAAGAAATAAGGATGTGCAATGTTGAAAATTTACTCATCAATGCTGAAATTCAATTCATTGAACTAAACTAATAATCCCTCCGCTCCTTATTTATAAGTTTTGAATTTCATTTAATATGCTCTTCTAATTAAAAATAAAACTGTAAAAATATTTTTCACATTTATCATATTCTCTTTATTATTATAAGATATTTTTAATTGAAAACACATACTAAATGAAATTTAAGATAAATTAAAATATTTTATAATAAGGAACGAAGGGAGTATAATATTATTATTATTATCTTTTTGGGAACAAACTGGATACAAAATGAAAAATATTTACGTAAAACATTTCCAATAATGACGAAGCTGTTTCTAGATAACAGAAAGCCGGTCCTCGCCTTTTACATCAAAACAAATGCCACTAACAAACCAAGACTAAAAGGGGCAACACTTACAATTATACACTTAATTCCGTTCTAAAATGATTATGTAGTTATTCGAATTTTTTTAATCCAATTTAAAAATTCTATATATATTGAACAATCATTTGAAGACGGGAGATTGATAATACTTCAGAAGTTTCAACCATATCAAGACAATACTTGTCTTTCAAAAGAAAAGTAGACTTATCTTTATCGCATAATTTTGTGCTGCATTTATGAATATTTACGAGTTTATGATACCTACACATATTTATTTTATGGTGAAATACATTAACAATGGAATCATTGAATGTGCATGAGCATTTTTTATTATTTGAGGTAACTATCCTGAACCCTTGAGTTAGAACCTGCATACCATCTTGTAAATTATCTACTCGAAATTTTGACCTCAATTTAATTTACAAGTTTGTTTGGGTATATATAGTTGATTATTAGTTAGTTGTGAAAACACTACAACCTTCTTTATTTACCTTAAAAGAAAAGAACATGAAGAACGGAAGAGACAATGACCCCAAAAGGTTTTTAAATGAGGAAAAAAATCAAAGGGAAACACCATTCCAAAAGAATAGTCAGCGGTGATGAAAGACTAAAGAAGTGTGATAATCACCGCCTTTCAAAATACCATGCTTGATTAATCCAGTAATAATACGGTTTAGGGTTTAGGGTTTAGGCAATTCCAAAATGATTGTATCTTATTAGATTTTTACTATACAATCTGCACTTAAAATATTAATCAAAAATAGACAATCATTTCAATTGACCAACAAAACCAACACTTGTTTAGTTCCAGGCAGTTAGCTTATAACTTAAGAAGCTTAAGGCGGAAAACTAATGGAGTGGTGAATTTATATGACCAGTTCCCCAGTTTCATTTTAATAGTGGAATTCATTAAATTAAAATGGTACATATAAGTGGAATGTATTGAAACAAACTAAATTTTGGTGACAATTTAGAGTATATTAATTCAACTTTTTATTGCAAGGTTCATGGTCAAGTTTCCATTTTCTTTTTTCTGTGTGTTTTTTGTTTTTCAAAGATTGTGAAAATTACATATAATTTAACAAACAGAATATTTATTGCTAAGACACAACCATGCTGTGCCAGCAGCCAACGCTAGACGCATTACATTGAAAAAAAAAATAAAAGTTCAAAACTCCTTAATGGAGATCGAAATGAAAATGAAAGGCCTTTGGATGTCCGGGTATAATTTGCAAAAATAAATAAATAAATAAAAATGAAGCAAACTTAAAGAAAAGGGAATCGCACACGACTCTGAGATGGAATAATCATCTTTACAAGACTAAAAATTTACAAAAAGAAAGAAAAAAGAACAAAAGAAAAATCAGACTCCAATAACCAGAAACTAAAAGAAGGAAATCTCATAAAGACAGACTCAGCAGCTCAACCGTACTATTTACATTACTTTTTCTTACCATCAACTGAAGCATCCAAAATATGCCTTTATTACAGAGAAAAATGAGCTCCGCTTAACATCTCTCAAAGATCTTGTAGAGTTTCTCAAGCGAGGCAACCTGGAAAGAGAAAAAAAAAAAAACCAGCAGGAGAAGAATAATTCCGCGGTTGCTAAAGTTCGTACACAACAGAGAGCAAAAAAAAGCGGGGAACCAGCCATTCCAAAAAAAAAGCAGCCAGGCACATTAATCAGCACTAATACACAACAAATTTTGAGTCAGTTACAAACCTGTACAAAAGTCCCATTTGTAGCCATTGATGTTGGAGGCTTGAAAAATAATCTCATCGATGGAAACAGCACGTGTTGTATTGCCCATTCACGTTGCGCCCACGCGTTCTGAGCATCTGAAAGTAGCTCATCGTCGGTTTCACATTCCATGCCTTCATCTTCTGTACAGCAATTTGGAACACGCATAAGAGGCCATCTTATCATCATCCACATTCATTACAAGATATATATACCCTGGGGGAAGGGGGGAGGGAATAATGTTGCCATGTTCTACCCAGATCACTTTTTTCAGTGAAAAAAATTCAAACATCAACATACCAGCAGCACTTTTAGAGGACTCCCCAAGTTTGGGAGACTTGGAAGCAACTCTTTTCTTGTAGAACTGCATCCCTTCACCGAATGGATTAGGCAACATAGGAGGATGCATAGCATAGAAGTTTCCAAGAGCAGCAGCAACTGTTTCGAAACAAGTTTTCTCATCATCCCAGTCCACCTACAAAAATAAACAATATAAATGAACAACAAACAGAATGATGTTCGACAGAACGTATCACTTCCACAGAAAGCAAAACCAAGAATGAAAAGTTAAGATGTTGGCCCTCACAATGTCACCATCATAACAGCTGCATAGCAGTTCACATTCTCAATTAGATAGGCATAACACTAGGTAATCTGTCGAGTAAGAAACAACCTGATGCCTCCAAAAATCTAACATCAATCCACTTTGTCCAGCTTATGATGTTAGGGCTAAGCGTTGCCATGGTCAGTAATGAAACTTAGTTAATGTTAATTCAAGATTGAAAAAATAAAAAATAAAAAAAAAGAAATAGTCATTTTTCCTCAACATCATTGCATCACTAGAATTAAACTAATTCAAATTTCAAAACTAATATGGCACAGAAAGTCATTTTAGGTATTATGTTTATATTATAACTCGTGAGAGATGATAACTTGTGGTAAAATGATAAGATCTGGATTGCTAAATAATTCTCGGCAGGATAACGTTCATCTGGAATAGTGAAAAAGCAATGGCAAACATATGAACAAAAGGGCTGGGAACTCACATCATTTCCCACACACAGCAAAAATTCAGGGACACGATCCATGTCAGGTGTGTACTGGTCTAATATGACAGGGAGCCTTGACAAGTTGCCATCTGCATCAATATGAATGCTGAAATACTCATCCAGCATTTCAGCCTTCTGCTTTAGCAACTCCGTGTTCATCTGCAGTGTCAAAAGAAAATGCAATCTAGTCAAGAAGAACTTATACCAACACAAAAGAAGTGCTGCAGAAAGAAGCCATGGTTCAAATTGGACAGCAAAATATTTCTTCCTACCCCACACTTTGGTACTCTGGTGAGGCTGCAAAAGGGGAGAATTATATTCACTTCTAATCTTAACTAAAACAGCCAGCAACACGTTTGAACTAACAAATTCATCTGGATTCACCCCCATTACATTTTTTGTATTGTATGAAGTATAGGTTCAACTTTTCCTTTGCCATTACACATAATTTGGAATGAAGAACAGCGTATACTGGACCACCATATATTTTATCCCAGACCTTACAACCATTGAGATGAAAAAGAAAAGAAAGATCATTAGAAAGGCGACATAGAAACGTTAAGGGGGAAAAAACCAAATGAAAGTTGAGGACTGTCAAAGAATATGTCCAACGTTACATTCCTGAATGGTAGGCAAGAATCAGATAGGAGCAGAAGTAACAGAAGAAAACTTAAGAGGATCAGGAGGGACAACATATAACTGACATAAATCATAAGCCAAAATTTCTTCGAAAAATTATTTTGGTATGAAAACAAACTTACTTCAGCTATCTTTTCTTTCAGTTCATCATTTTCGTCCCCTTCTCTTTCTAGGTCCTCCTCTTTCAGTGCTAACAATATCAAGTCAGAAAGTGGAGCTGGCTCACTCAACTGTATTGCATTAAAATGGGCAAATCGTCGCAAGACTTGTTGGTACATTAGTTCCTTACTGAAAAGGGATAGAGAAGAACTTAATTAATCAATTACCTAACCAAGAGCGTGGTAAGAAACTAGATGTAGAAACTATTTAGACAAAAAAAAAAAAAAAAAATGCATGTGCCAAGTTAATAGGCAATATAGGATTGATCATTACAAACTATTTCGGATAGGTTGGCTACACATTCACAGGGAACGTAAAACAAATGAACCAAAGCAAACATACCAGTGTAGCTCGGGCAAAGTAGAAAACACTAATGGAACCCAAAAAGTCGGAGTCGCCTTACTTTCGCACGTTTAATTATACTTTCCTAAGTAACTAATTGTAGAGGCCAGTTAGGGCATATGGTGACCCTCTCAAGTTCAAGGCGATTTCGACAGGATATGGAGAGGAAGAAAAAAGGACTGGAGACAGGGATAGCCCTTAAATAAAATGTATTACCTCAAGTTTACGACATTTGCAAGATAAAGTTGAGTATTGTGTTGAAGCAATGCAAAAACATCATCTGCCATCCCAATATACGTGCAGTGCCTAATAGTGTCCAGCAGACCTATACAATATTGTCATCATCAGAGAAAACAAGCAATACCCTTCCAATTGCAAGGGAACTGCACTAATTTGCCACAGATAAGAAATGCCGTACCAGCATGATAATTAGAGTCGATTTCATTGACCAGCTCCTGGATGCTTGTAAGATCAGCTGTTTCCTTAGGATTTCTCCTTTGTCTGATGGAAGGCCTAAAATACCAAAACTCTTCTAAAACTCCCATAAACTCAAAAATAATAGAGAACTTCTCATTTATTATACGTAATCCATTATCAATCGGAACTCAACTTGCAGCTATCACAATAGATCACAAATTAATTAATATGCCAGCATCCAAGTAGACAATTAAAATTTCCAAGTAGACAACTGAAATAAGTTTGCTCCTGAAGAAGACTTCATATAGGCAACTTAACAATAAATAGATTAAGTTTCTCCTCTATACCTCTATGACATGCAACTACACAAAAAATAGATAAGTTTCTCCTATATAATTCTACAACATGCAACTTAATACAGGCCAGAATAGTGTCTTAGTTACATAAATAAGCATTTGCAACCATTCGTTTGGATGCATATTAATTACAACACCAATTTGATCTATGGTGAGAAACATAACCACTTTTCTTTCTCTATCAGAAGTAAAGTCACGGTTCTTCAGCAAAGAGTGATAAATTCAGGAAAAGACAACTACCAATACACAATCTCCACTATTTTCTTAAATAATTTATTAGACGGAATCCTTCCACTTCAAGGGATGCTCTAGATTACTGAGAAAAATCTAAATGTCGTCAAATACCTTCGATGGCTTCAGTTAAAGTACAGGAACCAGTAAAATTGCTCAGGAAGGAGGTAATTCGGAGTGAGCTTAGGCAATTTAGATAAAGGACAAATTGATCACATTTCTCCAAGTAATTAGCATATTCAATTAGCTCTTTGTACCTTAAAATTCAAGCTCACCTAATGTTTCACGCAAATTCTCTCCTTGCATGTCATCTTTTCTTGTAATGAAATGATATTAATCCGCAAAAACTTCTAAATTTTATTGAAGTCTCCTCAGCGCAGAGGTTTACAGAATCTAACTTGACCAAAATTTATAACGTAACTGTGAAGTCTTAGTGGTCACTCGTAAGTTAACCTAACTTTAAAGAAAAGGGTATTACCTTACAGAGGTTAAGCAAACTTTCTCTAATGGACTAGAATGTGTTGATTGTAAGTACGCATGGAGCCTTCCAGCAGGATTCAATGAATCTGTTCTTACCATTTTATGGACTGGCACCTTTTCTGATCTTTGGGCTGTAACGTTAAGAGGAAATAGATACTTCAAAATCAGAATGTGGAGGAGGAAACAAAACTAGAGCTCTTTCACTCACTAGCCAAGAACAAATAGGAACCTACCCTGTGAACCAAGAGGAGTGGAAATCTGAGGAGATCTTTTCTGTTTAGTTACAGGACTAGATTGAGATGGGTCCAGTGTCTGCCCCAAATATAAGATGAGAAGTGAAATCATTAAGTTCACAAGTTCTTGATGAGAAGCAAGTAAAAGAACTGTAAACATTCCACAGAATCAATTAAAACAACAAAAGTTAAATTTTATATGCAGTTTAATCAATATGGAATGCTTTTTGTGACTTTCCATACTGATTAGCATGACTTTTCCTTTTCTTGGACATTTAGTTAAACAAAAGGTAATGTTCTCTTTTACCAAATATTGTTATCATTTTGAGCATATAATTCAGATTGCAGAAACCAGCCCCACAGCCTAAAGTTCAACTACATGCACAAAAGTTGGCATCTGCATTATAGGATGTTAGGAGACATCCATCTAAGTTAGACTAGATTAGCATGGTTTGAAAGATTTTCATTTACTAGAAAAAGTTCATTGAGCTTTAATCTACAAAAAGATTAGTGATTTGATCAAATCTTACAAAATCTGACCTGTAGTTCTTTCCAAAATGCATAGTACAGAAGCACTAAAGTGGTAATGACTCTGGAACGAGGTAGAGCAGCACATATTTCACAAATATAAAGTTACAAGCATTTCCAAGCATTCATTTTGAAGCAGATTGACTTCCGCCCCCTCCCATTCAAAGGTCAATAAAATTTCTCATCCTTCTAGTCAAATTACCTTAACCCCAGCTAAAGAGATGGCATATTATAGCTTGAAGTAACATTTTGTGGAGACAACCGAAGACCAAGTAATGTCATAATTCTTTTTCATCATAACTTCTCATCATGACAGGAACTACCTGTTCTTGAAATATTCTTGACTCGTTACAGTTCCTTAATCTTGATTCGACTGAAGATTGTATCTTCTCAATAATGATTTCTTGGTTCAACAGACTGACCTGCATCAACAAGGATTGCCCTTAGAAGAATTGGAAACGAGCAAAGATACCAGCAGAGAAGGGAGAAGGGGAAAGAGAGGAAATTTCATCAGTAAAGATAATATATCTTTTAGACTTAATGGCAACGTAACAGGAAGTAATCCAGAAGCAGGAGTCTCTGGCTGGAAATAGAAATGTAATAACCGCCAGATACCTTGCTTTGCTTTCCAAGTGAACTTCTAACCAGTGTCCAGCAACTTATCCATCATGCAAAAAGTTTAGGGACTATTTTACCATTTAAAACATACAGAAAGCAAACTACATAAATCAAACTGTCTCCAAATCTTTTGCTCTTTTCAAAAAATTGGCTCTTTTTAACCCATTAAAAAAAAAGGAAGAAGAAGAGAAGAAAAAAACTTGGCTCTAGGTAACAGCAAAAGTTGATTGTATCCCTTTTAATGTACTATATACATTTCCGTAAATTGAGTACTCAGAATAAAAGTTTAAAGAAACTCCTATGGTTTTAAAGTTTGAACTTAAACTGGACTATGTACATTTATACTCTCTTTCTGTAAGAAGTGATTGGACTGCTTAGACAGAGTATGTAGTTCAATATATATAAATTAAAAGGACGAAAAGCCTTATGTTTCATTAAGGTCAGCATTGATGTCATTGATTATATTCATTAAAGAGGTGAAAAACTCATATCAGAATAACTGCAAGGTGACTGGTATCTGGTATATAGCTTAACAATTATTGATTCAATTTTGCACATGAAATCTCAACAGACCGTATGATTGAAGATGTCTGATGAGCCAATTCAGTCTAAAACAGTAGGTTTCCTAATTGAATCAGCTTTTAAGGATCTTTGCTGTCAAGAGGATGTCATAGAGTATGAAAAATGTACAACTCGAACCCCCCATCCCAGTCCAGTAAATGCAGTTTAAGAAATGCAGCATACGCCCAAAAGTACTAAAATGATTCCCCACAGAGGCCACACAATACGAAGCAAAATAATATTTTCTTAACAAAATAACACATATTCAAATACAGTTTATAAGAGCAAATAGTTATACCTCTCTCTTAGTTGGGTGTACGTTAACATCAACATGTTCACATGGTAGTAAGATTGACATGTATATGAAAGGTTTTGATGCTTTAGGTAATGTAGCAGCATAAACAATTTCAATTGCCCTCTTAAGTGCCCCACATTCGACCAGTCTATCTAGAAAACCAATGAAAACAAAATTGAGTTAGAAATGGCATCAGAATGCTTTCAAAACTTACTTATGTATGGTTAAAAAAGGCAGAAGTGTGCCCATGCGAGCCGCAGCATAAGCAAATTTCCAAGGCCAACAAAGGAAACAACCACAACAAATAAGAGCTCAACTTCATTCTTTTGGAGCATGTAAACTAGTTCTCCATGGTAAGGTGAAAAAGAGCTGTTTGATACTTAACAAAAATGAAAGAACAACTGAGGCAAATTGAGTACCAAGCTCTGCATCACTTAATAACATCAGAGAATAAAGCAAGCATTACACCAGATCTTTTCTCTTTGCATTTAATTGTTTTAAAACAACTTCTCAATTAAGAAAAAAAGCTAAAGGTATAACACTTGCAGTAATCCCTGATTCAGCAGTGCACACCATTAAGAAAATCAAACACCAAGATACTCATTGTAAGGTTACAATTCTTCCATATACGATTACCTACCATTGATAAAAAGCACCATCGTTATTTTCTTGGCAGCATAATTGGAATTGGAGATGAAACCTTCCATTTTGAAAACTGAGCTAGAAGGGTCATTGTCAGAAGCTTCTATTGTCATCAGATTTCTAGCAACAGACACCCCATAAACACATCTGATTGCATCAAGCCTGGATGATGTTGCTACAGAGTGAACATCTGCTCTCGCTGCTCCATGCTGCCACAATGGCATAATAATATCAAGTAAAAACTTCAATTCTCCAATAAAAAGAAAAAGACAGTACGAAGGACCATAGACTACACTGACCTTTCTGCAAGAAAAGCTCACATTTATGTGATGAATAGCAAAACGACTTAGCAAATCCACAATTTTTGGATAGTCATCTGCTGAATTTTGAAGCGTTTTTCTTCGAGCAATCATGTTATAAAACAAGTTCTCAACCTGAGGCAGATATGCAAAAAGATTAAAACAAAATGATTTGGTAATGGATCAGAATCCTTTACATAAAGCACAATATCCAAACTACTAAACCGTTGATGTTAGACAATTATCACTCTAAGACACATCCCACATTTTTCTCATAATTTAACAACTGTTTCTCGTGAGGTAAGATAAACAAGGTCATAATCTGGTGTCCATTGCAAGAAGCAAAAGAAGGAATCAGCATTTGGGCCATATATTTGTTCGTATAACCAAATACGACTCTTGAATTATGTCTTGTTTACATTCAGTATAGTATGTCATACAAAGAAAGGAAAGAAGAAATACACACTATAGACTGTAAACAGTATCCAGAAAGTTCAAGACTTTATGGAGAAAAATCTAGCCAGCATTAGGTCAAGGATAATACAATGACAATTTGCAATCTTAATGCAATCTGTAAAACTAACAACTAAACTCCAGGATCATTTCATCAATATTTAGAATCAGATTTTTCTCAAGCCCAGAGTATTCGGATGCCAAGAATGATTAACAAAAAGAGTATAGAACTATATAGCTGTGAGAAGCAAACCATTATCTGAGTCCCTTTTACAGCTGCACATGCTCTGGGTTCATGTTCCATAACCCCATCTCTGTATGTGGCCCTGACAATGAAAATAAATACCATCATAAGCCTTAGTTTCCAGAAAGAAACAAATGAATCAAAGGAGCTTTACTTGCTTGCACCCGTAAAAGGTAAATATGCATCAGTACTGGACTTAAGATTCAATTTGAACTGATGAAAATAATATCATCTTTTCCGGTCAAGAAAAGATCAAAGTGTTTTAAACTGTGATATCAGAGACCTATGAGATTGAACTTAAAGAGTGCACCCAAGAAGAAAATAACAAACAAAACAAAACAGGGGAAAAAAAATTAAAATGAACAAAAGGTGAAATCATTAAGAAAACAACCAACAAAGGAAAACAAATCATTGGGAGATGAGCATATATTGAACCACAAACCTTCAAGGGGTTCGAAAAATTAATTAAATACTTAAAAGCCCCATTTGATTCATGCAGAATGAACGCCAAAAAGCTGAGTGATAGGAATCAACATGTCAAAGTATTGAACTTGATGGTTTGTAAGGTGAGTCTATCATGAGCTACTTTTACCTGTAGCCGTGCAACTGACCCTTGGTAATAGTGGTTACAGTCACATGACCCACATAGGTCATGCTGGCCAAAGCCTCGCCTCTAAACCCCATTGACTGTATAGATTGTAAGTCTTCAAACTGGCTCAACTTTGAAGTTGTATGTCTCTCACATAATATTGGTAAATCTTCATGCTGAGAAGAAAAAGGAACACTATCAAATGTAAAGCAAGCAAAAGTTATATGTAACTCCCATGTGTTAGAAACAGATGTCAACTTTTGCAGATAGATTATTAAAAACGAAAGGTAGTGTACCACTTGTATCTTTGAACATGAATAACATCAGTATAGTGACAGGGAATCATTTTGATAGCAGATACCATTATTTCTAGGTGTTTTAATGTTACAGAATGTTACATGTAAACATCATGACTTTAATATGCAGAGTAGGGCCTAGATAATTAAGCTTAATATTTCCTTTTCCTGTTGAGAGAATTTGAGAAATGTTTTTCATAGATAACCATAAAGAAATTCTTCAAAACCATCTTCACTAAGCCAACAGTTGAAATAACCAAAGACAGAGAAGTAGCTCATACACAATCAATCATCAACTAAGATAATCCAGTTCTTAAATCCACGTGCATACTTACAGATTTATCTCTTTAATTTCACTAAAGGCAAACCTAAATGGTAATTCAATTTTTTTCTCTCAAGTAAAAAGAACTCGGAGAAATACTAATCCTCCCAATTGAAAATTTCTAATCCCTGAACAATAATTCAAATGCACAAAATAGAGTCACCGGAAGGAAGAAAAAAACATTCATAACTATGAAATCTACTGAAGTTGTAAAATGGAGTAGCTGATAACAAAATCAGCTTTTACGACGCTGAAAACTTTCCTTCAATTGATAATGCAATCCTTACGAATTAAACATGTCAAATAGTAATGAAAATGACTTCTGAACTTTTTATGCAATAAAAATGTTCTGAACTATAGGAGCCAAATAGTAATCACGTAAGTTTAATTTCCTGATATTTCATCTACGGTGAAAACTTCTGTAGGAAAAGATGAGAAAATTAACACTTCTTCCTAGCATAGATTTTCAAATTACAATCCTTCAAGGCAAAATTAACATGTAGGTTTCTCTATAAAAATTGGCCAGTTGTAAACTGATAGACACCAGAAATTCTTCTTTCTGCTGCTAACATGAACACATGAAAATAACTTACTGTATTCTAATTTTACAGTTTAATCGAAAATGTCACATATCCCCTAATTGTATGAAATGATTAGTAAAGAGGTATCAGTGTGTGTGGGGGTGGGGGGGGGGGGGTTTACCCGAATGCCGTGGCCGTCATCTGAGACTTGAATAAGTTTCAGTCCACCGTCCTTGACGGTAACAGAGATGGAAGTGGAGCCGGCGTCAAGGCTGTTTTCGACCAGCTCTTTCACGGCGGAAACCGGCCGCTGGATGACTTCTCCGGCGGCGATTCTGTTCACCACTGACTCATCGAGGCGTTTGATTTTCGGCGGTTCTTTGGGAATCGGAACTGGTGGTAACACCTCGTCGATATCCATGAGGTTAGTTTCGTCGGCTTCAACGCCACCAGACCGTTCCATTGCCGTTGAAGCGGAAGAGCTCCTTCGTTAGTGGCTTCCTCTTTTTCCTGTAATTCTTGGTTATTAAGTTTGGCGCCAAATTATTGGGTACTAGGTTGAAATGGACCGCAAAAAAATTGCGTATTGGGTCGGAATGGAGCAATGGGCTCTGGCATTTTGATTTTGTCCTGCATTCCACCTATTACTTATATTTAATGAAAAAAAATATTAAAAATATATTTCACGTTTATTGTATTCTATTGATTGTTATAAAATATTTTTAAGTTTTTTAGATTAAAAATATGTAATAGGTTAAACCAAGAACAAATCAAAATGTTTTATATTAAGGACGGAGGAGTACAATTTGATAACAAATTATCCCAATCAAGAATTTGTAACAGTAATATATAACCTTTTTCTCAAAAAAAAAGAGTAATTCAAAAAATTACTACGTGGCATCCAGTATAAAAATTAGCATGTGTTGTTTGATAACTGCAAAAATTATTACTCTCTCTGTCCCATAATTATTGTCCAGTTTTACTAAAATGAAAGATTTTATTTTAATCAAACTTAACTATAGTTTACCTTGAACAACCGGATATACCCTTACATAAGTAATTGTTTAACTACAAAGATTTTATGGATAATGTTTTTTATTAAGGACAAATGTGTAATTTGATCCATAAAAGTCAAATTAGACAATAATTTTAGGACAAAATTTTTTGGGTAAAGTGGACAATAATTATGGGACGGGGGGAGTACCGAATATTACTTTTCATTTTTAGTTCAATTTGTACTAAACATGATAATCTAAATTGGACAATAATTTCAGAACAGAATACTTATTTGGAAAAGTTTATTTCCACAAGTTAAAGAAGAACAAATTCGAGCTCCTTTCAAGACTTTGATTTATAAACATTCATTCAGTACTCCCTCCATCCCAATTTGAGACGGTGGGAGCATATATAGGAACCACAGTGCCAAAACAAAAATTAGTAAGTAAAACAAAATGTGTCTATTTCGGACAATTAATTCTTACTCTTAGTTTGGTTCCTTCAAGAAAAAAATAAAATACTACAGAAGGAATTAATCTGAGCTGAGAAGATATATTTTTGAGAGGTCATCATGTTATGTTTTAAGAAGACCAAACCCATTGATGAAATTCAGGAGGGGGGAGACATCTAATTCTTACACCAAATAACTTTACAATTTTCCATCCACTTCCTAAAAGAACTAGAATTCTGCTAGTGCTAGGAATGCCTGGACAATATAAAGGAAAAAAAAAAAAAAAAAAAATTCAGGTTCCCTAGCTGATCATGGAGTTCTACAGCTGCTCTTCAACCCAAATCTATCCATAACTGTCTCCTTCATAAATGTTTTATCATAGTGAGCTACAATGAAGTGGATACAAGCATATATGGTTGTGATTTCAGAAAACAAAATCTGAAGGAATAGGAACAAGAATATCGAGCGAAAAATTGCAATGACTTGCTACATAATTACTCAACTTAGCACAGACAAAATTTTTTGAAGCCGGAAGGTCAATAGATTGTTTCTTGGCATTCTTGTTCTATTGTACGTTGAAATGGTGCACACACTTGCCGATTGTGTTATAAGAGTTTCAGAGATTGCACTGCCACTCCATTGCGAGCATCAGGAATGCGATCCCATCTCCCCAATCGTGGTTCCTGCAGAATAATGTACGCACTTAAATATGACAGCCAAAGGGATAGCAGTATCAAAACAGTGTTTAGATTATTTATTTGATTTTCAATATGGCATTAAGGGTTTCAGTCTCGCATAATATAAAGCTGGGAACTGCTTCACTTTTACAAAGCTTTTGATCAATCCTTGGAACAAGCGTGCGATGTAGCATAACGCTGCTACAGAACAATGGATGATGTTCTTGTTTTTAAGCATGGACTGTGATGCAAACGGGTACATAATTTGCAACTACTAAAATGCATTTGAGAAAAGAAAAGTTACGAAAGATGAAATGATTTACCTGTCCTACTCCAGCAAGTAGAAACTTCCCAGATCTAGCAAATGCTAAAGAATTTACAAATCCATCCTACAAAAACAGCAGAAAGATTAAGAAGATAGCATTGCTCAAAAGGATTCACATCCCATTTCAAATATGCACCATGATAAAATAATTACAAGAAAAATTCTCGAAATAAACGTGTTTAGCCCCATCTTGACCATCTACTGGACCCATCACAAAAGCGTAAGACATTTCTACCAGAATAGCCTTCTTTTCTTCAGTTAAAAAAATCATGATCCCAGCAATGAAAGATAATATGAATAAACAATCAGATGTAACCTGATTGCCGTGAATGTGGGAAACATTCTCAAGGGGTCAAGGCTTCAAGATAATTTAGCAGAAAAAGTCATAAAATGGGGGGAATGCCAACTGCACTAGAATATTACCGTGAAAGTGTGATGTAAAGTTTTCAGAACTTCAACATTTTAAATTGAATATAAATCCAAGTGTTCGAGACAGACACAATAATGATTTGAAATGACAAATAGAAATGGCATCAGTCACATGCAAGACTTACCAGAGGGAGCTCAAACAATTGAGAGATTCCTTTAGATTCATTTTGAATTGCCCAAAGACGGACAAAACCATTTCCAGCTCCAGATGCAGCTAAATCACTGCTTCTGCACACAGCTAAAGAGCTAATCCAAGAACGTGCCAAGGGTGGTGAAAAGCTCTCAGAACTTTTAGAATCGTTTCCTGCAGGATAAATTTGAAGATCATGCACCTAATTAGGGTTCATGCTATGCCACACAAACACGTGAAACAGATTAGTTCAGCACTTCCTTTTTTTTCAAATTTTCATTTACAGGGTTCGACAAGGGGTGACGTTTGGATTGAGGGTTGGTCAAGGTGTCACATTTGGAATGCGAAAGGGTTCTAAGAAATTCCAACAAACAAACAACCTAGCAATGGGAAGATAAGTTATTCCCACAAAGATCACACGTGCAAAACGGAAAGCACAGCACAGCAAGCTATGAACTGCAAGGATACCTATGTGACCATTGGATAGTGCACCATTTTCCATTTCAACCTCGTGCGATGAGAAAGAGGCATGAGCATTTTTCACAATATGAACAGGCTTCTTCCTTAGAACGTTCCAATGCTCAATACTACCATCATCAGAACCTGATAAAAATTCTTGATTGTTAATGAAACAGCCGCATTCGAGGGACGCAGCAGGAGCTCGATAAATCAACTGTGTTTCCTCGGGAACCTGACCACCAGATAGTAAAGGAAACGTTATTTGAAGATTTCGATGTCAAATTTTTGTATCACAAAGTCAGGGTTGTTGGAGAACTACACCATAGATCAAAGATTCACCGAGCAAAAGAAGCATAAGTGGATAATAGATACTCTGGAAAATAATTTAAGGAGGAAAAAAGTAAAATAAGACAGAGCAAGATAGAAACAGTCCGTCTAGGACCAACTGCAGAACAAACAGTTCAGAAGAAAATAACGACATAAGACAGGAAAAATAAAAGAAGGCCATATACCAACAAAAGAATAACAGCCTAAAACAAAAAACTGCAAGTACTCTATCAGAGTGCATCAAACAAAAGCCCTCCACACACATGCTAAATCAATTCAGCAAGTTGAAAATATATAATCGTCCACAACGCTCAAAACACAGGCATATAATGAACTGTACGTGAAATTCCTTTGCAGTTAATTGTGGTCACTTAAACAAGAAAAGCATTTATCTTGGGACTTTAAATAAAACATTTAGGATCATTTGATTAATTTTTGTCAACGTCCAGTTTATACCTTGAATAGGTGCATAGTCCGATCACGGCCAACTGTTAAGACCCTCTCCGACCGCAAACAATCAATTGTCAGAACTTCACTCTGGTGACCATACAGAGAGCTTATATAGGCTCTATCTTCTGCATTCCATATTTTAACCGCCCGGTCATATGAACCTGAAAAAAGCTCAGAAGTTCCTTGCCTGAATGTCAGGCATGACACTGCCCCCTTGTGTCCAGGAAAGGCCTGAAACCAATAGAAAGGAAAAACAAAATTGACAGAGGTCAGTGTGTGAATGGGAATCAAACTAGCACACCAAGCGACAAGGTGGGAAAATTTGAAACAACTGCCAAACAACTTTGATTGGTCATCATCATGCTCAAGATTAAATACCCAGATCATGATGAAAAACTAATACTTGGGATGCTGAAGCATTGTAAAAACATGAGCAATGTTGTTTTCCTTGCACTTTGCAAATTCTTCCTACTGATATTAACAATCATAGCAAAGTAAAACGGCATCAAATAAAAAAGTCTAAAATAGCAGAGCACAAGCAATAAAAAGTTAATCTTCGGCACCATATCTGCAGAATATTGTTCCTTTATCTATAAGATGCAAGAAGCTTTCCCAGATATTTGACATACATTTGACTAGAATCAATCCTTCTTATCATTAGTCACCTCATAGTACCTGAATATGTTGCCGAGTACGAACATCCCATAAATGAACATGCCGATCCATTCCTCCACTAGCCAAGTACCGACCATCAAAACTGACCGCTAAGGCTAAAACATGATTACTGTGCTTTGTTGCTCGACCATGAGGATCCTTAGCTCCATTTGACTTCAACACTTCATCACTTGGCCAATTGTATTTCTCAATTTTCCCATTATCTACATCCCAGTGCACAATATTTCCATCCTTGGAGGCTGAAAATCCTCTTGAGTCATCCTCAGACAATCTAACAGCAGTAACAGACTGCCGGTGCTTTACCAAGATTTGAAAGCCATCACTTGTTTCTGGTTTTTGCACCCTACAGCATTATAAAGAAACTTGAATATCTGGATTGCATACTCTCTCGTTGAAAATTTCAAGGATATTTAAAGGCTTGCATTGCACTTTAAACCACACAGCAGAAGTACATCAAATTTTATGATTTATCCTGAATGTAATACAATCGGCAATAAAGTTTTCTACAACTAAATCTAGAAACTTAAACATGAATCAGGCGGGATCTAGTATATGAGAGTAATAACAGCTGTCTCTGTCTATGCATGGTGGATAAATGAATCTAATGATATCGACCATAATCGTAAGAGACAAAGGTGAATGCAAAATACACTAAAATCCATACCAAATTTCAAATCTTTCTTTGGGTTTCTATTAATTTTGAATAGCAAGGGAAGGCGCAAATTAGAAAAGACCATTAGGGAACAACTCACATCCCTTAAAATTTTCAACTCTGCACAATTATTGGGGTGACAATCTTTTAAAATAGCATCCCCTGATGCTGCTCAACTAAGCAATTATATCACAGCAGGACTTCTAAAACGCAAAACAACCCCATAACAGATCATCTTCCACTAATCTAAAGACAAAGGTAACCGTCACATAAAATCGTAAACCAAGAACAACAGCATCCCTTTCCCTCTGTGCGTGCATAACAATTTTTATTGGACAATAAACCCACATCAAGCCCTTTTCAGTAATTCGATATGAAATCGTCCCAACTCCCAAGTATTTTCCCTCCCCCTTCTAAACCAGTTACAAAGCAAAAGCAAGACTTTTCCGAAAATCACTTAGCAAAACAAACATTACATAAAACAATCCACATGCATTCCAAAGAAAAACTTAAAAAATACACGGAAAAATGGTGAATAAAAAATCAGACCTTGAAGCAATGGCTCTTCGGACTCGCCCACTATCTTCCAACTGTTCCCGCTGCAAAATCTTAGCAATCCTCGAATCCCTCTCACCTTCCCTCCGAACCCTTTCTTTCTCTGTATCCTCATCTTCTTCGGATTCCATATCTTCTAATTCCTTCCTTTCCGCAATGTCCCTAAAATTATCCAACCATTGCTTAGAAAGTCTCAGTTTTCTTTCACCTACAGTCTCTTCCTCTTCCTCCTCCTCATCCTCCTCTTTCTCTCCTTCTCTTTTTTCTCTGTCCTCATCCTCTTCCTCCACCTCCTCCTCACTGCTGCTGGCTATATCTTCATCATCTTCCTCCATTCTACGGCGCCGTTTCGATCCTTTCTCTTCTGAATCGAAAAAAGGGTCATGGCTTACTGAGAGTCTGTTCTTACTGCTGGTATTATTATTCTTGGAACCCTTTTGCCCAAATCCTCTCTTCTTCTTCTTCGGGTCTCCCTTCTCCTTCATCCTTCTTCAGCTTTCAATTCAACCCACAGAGTAACGAATTGAGAGGGTTCAAATTCTACTCTCGATGGCGACTTGCGTGAAAGGAAGGAAGCAATATGGGTCGGTTGGCTGAGAGGTTTAGGGTTTAAGAAACTGATGTTTATACTTTATGTTTATCGTTTATTTTTCTCTTCTTCCGCCAAAATTAGGCTACATTTGGAGAAGGCTTTTTTTTTTCAAAGAAAATATAGAAAATAGTAGTTTTTGACAGAAAATGCATTTAGACAAGGAGTTTACAAAAACCTTTGCTACGTACAAAATTAAAATTAAAAAGGCAATTGGACTAGAATTAAAAAAAAAAAAGTTTAGTGAGAAAAAAAAATTGATGAAATTATTTTATTAAAAAAACTTAAATTTTACGTTGGTATTTAGTTTGAATATCTTTTTCACTTTTCTAGTTTAAATAACTTTTTTTATGGTCCATACTTATTATTTACTTTTATTCTTTTCCCAACATATTACATTTTTAAAAATAGAGTGTAATTTTTTCGGAAATCTCACCAGAGTTAGGTAACTTTAAATGTAATGTTAAGATCATTGTAACTACATTAAATATATTTAAATATTTTAATTGGCTGAGAGACTCCGATTACATCAGCAATTTTAAAAGGGGTTAAAATTGTCATTACAAAAACAAATTTCTTTTCTCCTTTTTCTCCTGAATAAAGGCAAAACCCGCCTAAAAAAATTAGGAAAAATTTGTATAAAGCGCGGTGGAAGTTGTTGAATTAATAAAATGGGTACAACTTATATATAATTTGTAATAAGAGCAGTGACTTATATTTCTTAAAAAACATTTCAAAAAAAGTATTTCTTAAAAAATATAAAAGAAAATACATTAAATTGATGAGACTACCCTCAAGTTCAAGTTTTACATCTATATATTTCTCCATCTCTTCTCCAAAAGAAAAAAAAATCAAAACAAAAAAAAAAACCTCTCTCACTTTTTGTTTAAGAATTTTATCTAATCTAATCACTACATTTCTCATCGTTCAGCTAAAACTTAAAAAAAGAAAATCATGAACACTATCCACGTAATGGATATCTAACATATTTCCAACAATTATATTAATCATTCTTATTTATTTGTGCGCATATAACAATTAGATAAACAAAGGCATCTAAAATTCTAATTCCAATTTTAGTCCATGATCTTCATCAACAATTTTAACTTCGTGTAGTCCAAAATTTTCAGAGTTCGATTGGAAGAGAATGAAAATTGATTTTCAATAATATTATTACAAACAGAAAAATATTACATTGTTGCTATCCAAATTTGTTGGGTTATAATTTATCAAATTGAAACAAACTTAGAACTCCCAATCAAAATATCACCATGATATATTCAAAAGAGTTTAATTGGAAAAAGAGCCATCAGGATTACCGTAAAAGTTTTCATTAATTGAAACATATATATAAAGTTTAAAGGAATACCAATAACAACAAGTGATCGGCTATACATTTCGTAATCGCAAAGAAACATGTAAAACTAGATCACAACAATAGTTGACTTCTAAATTATTACTCCAGATGGTAAAAGTTGAAATCAAGTTTTCCAGTATGAAGGTGAGTGCAAGAAAAATTATGTTTGATAATTTCTATGATAAAAGAGAATCTAGAACATTTACCGACTTCATCTTTATTTAGTTTGGGATAGTTTTGTTCATAAGAATATCGTAATCTTTTATATTTATTCAGAAATTTGTCACTGTCCTTATTTTAAATTATATGAAAGTCGAATTTTTTCCTTAAATATATATGAAAAAAAAACCTGGACAAAAATAAAGCTTTTTAAAATCTTGTAGACAAATTTATATGCCCCGAATTTAGGAAATCCGAATGGGGGCAAAACTCGGATTTCGGAAATCCGACCCCTAATAAACTCGGATTATTAAAATCCGACTTTGTGTTACGTAAATCCGATATTAAGTTAATGACAAAAATTAGTGTAATTAATCTAAATTCGGATTTTATAAATCCGTTTCTATGAATAAAATATTAATTTTTGGATAGAAAAAAATAATGTGTTGAAAAATTAAATTTGGGCGTAACTCGGATTACCAAATCCGAATCGCTCGTTTTCAAAATGGTGACTCTCATTGGCCACGGACTCGGATTTCAAATCCGAATCCTTTACAAAGTCTGGGTTCGGATTTCGCAAATCCGAGTCTTTGTCAAGATCAAGAAAAAAATTGGACTGATTTTCACCAGTCATAAACTCTGTTACAAAGACCAACAACAATGAAACATTGGAAAACAGGAATTTAATAACAACAAAACAATAAACGGCATTCGATTAACAACAAAACAAATCAAGTTTCATAAAAAGTTCAATACAAAAACTACTTTAAATGTACAGAATAATGAAATGTCTCATTTTTTTCCCTTTTCCTTTATTGTGCGCATCCGGAGTGTATTTGTTTGGGCCCTGTCGGATCCTGTCTCCCCTCTTAAGATACGTGAGTATTGAACTTTGTTGTGGTTGCGACTGTCCACCAAACTGAGCCTCGATTTGGGGTTGGGACTGGGACTCCCCCATGGTGATAAATTTGACTCCCGGTTGTAGTTGCGACTGTCCACCAAACTGAGTCTCAGGTCCACCAAGGTCAAACTGAGTCTCGGGTCCACCAAGGTCAAACTAAGTCTCGGGTCCACCAGCTTCTTCAAAATGAGTCTCGACCTGGATGCGCGAGCCTCGAGAGGAATGTGCTTGATCCTCATTTTGTTGACCCTCAGTTTGTTGTTGCGATGTCCGAGGGGGGATTGTGACCTTCCTCTTTCTTCCTCCTCCAATCTTATCTCTCGACCACGGTTTCGCTTTTTTACCCGGCGGAGGTTGTGAGGGCAAAAATGGATCTTCATCAACCAGGATTTGGGTATCCTCCACCTCCATCTCATCATTTGCGCCCAAGGTTAAAGCAGCATGTGTTTAATTGATGATATCGTCCAAATGCTTGTCAAGTTCTTCGTCTAGGAGATTATCATCTTCTCGTTTTTCTCTAAACCTCTCGGTACTCACGCGAATGTTGTTCAATACTTCACCCTGAAAAGAAATTGGGACGTTAATTAAGAGAGTAAAGTTGTAAAAAAATAAAAAATAAAAAAAAATGAAACATAAGAAATAATAAAAGAAATCTAGAATTAACTCACATATAATTTCACGCGGCTCGAAGAAGTCTCGTATCCTTGAGGTTCATAATTACCGGGATTGGATATCAGTCTGAAAGTGTTCACCATGAACCATTCATAGTACCCCTCATATACGGAACCAGGATCTCCTTCCTCCAAATCTCGTAGCACGAACTCTTCTCTCCTATTCCAATGACGGTGTACTGCGGAATGGTGATCCACCCAATTATTGCTAGGATACCCAGACATACTGTGGGCGTGATCAAGAAGGAATGCTGCGTTATCTTTAATCATGGGGCGCTTGGGAACATCCTGTATGTATCCAAATTGCCTTACGACTCTGCCCGACTCGTGGGGTTCCCTAATAGCCCAACAGAACATCCAACACCTAGTCGTCCAAATGGCTTGGCCTTGTGTACAGAAATCAGGGAGTCTATGGAGGACATGTGCATATGGTTGCCACCGAAACTGCACGAAAAGAATTTCATTAGATGGTACAAGCGAAACCAAAAGAAAGGGATAATTGATCTCAAAGTAAATATAAATACCAAATTACAAGTACTTACATCTTCAACACGCAGACTTATTAATTGATCTCTAAAAGGTGGAGTGCTGCTCCTTGGGGTGTCGCCGTAGGTGTACCTACATTCCCACCTTAATAAACAAAGGGGTACATTTGAATTAGTGAAATAAATGAATAAGAAACAAATAGAATTAAACGTTGAGTTATTTTGAACTGAAAATACGTACCGCTGAGCTAATGGAGCGGTCTCATCAATCAAATAATCTACTCCTTTTCTTTGGGGCGCGAACCTCTCGATCCGCTCATACGCTCATACCTAGTAAATTGCAATAATAATGTAAAAACTTCAAATTATAATGTCGAAAGCGCAAAATAATTAAAACACAAAATGAAAACTAATACGTACCTGTAGCAAATATAGACACCCAGTGGCGTCGTGCATGGTATACTATGATGCCTCACATAGTCCAGAGTACAACCCAGCCAGCAGTGCCGATCCCCAACTGTATCGACTACACTGATCCAAATCCTCAACCTGGGCCAAGAACTGTAGATTGACAGTGTTCTGCGTCTTGTTCGGAAACATAAAACTGCTAATAAAATGCAGTATAAGTGTCCTGGCCCTTTGCTCGAATCGATGGACAATGGAATTTTCAGGTAGTGCACGGCCCATCTCATCTTCGAAAATACCAACATTGACACATTGGCCATTTACAGTCGCCGGCCGGAATCCCAAATAAGCCTCACATCGATCCCGCCATTCATCTGCAGTCCGGCTAACTGTCGTCCCGTACACCGGGTCACCATCTACCCGAATACCAAACAGGACCTCGGCTAAGTCCGTAAGTAACTCGGATATTCGAAATCCGAACTACGTTAGATTCGGATTTCATAAATCCGGATTTAGTCAATTGAGGATTATTTTATTAATTTTTTGGTCCTCCAATTTAAGGCACATGCCTACTTCCACCAACCAAAATTAAAGGCAGTCGGATTTCCAAAATCCGAATTCCTAAAACCGGATTACGGACTTCCGGTTTTTTGGATTCAAAAATTTCGCGCCGCGATTTATTAATTTTTAACTAAACTCGGATTCTACAAATCCGAGCTTTACTGTTCATTTAAGAATTTTAAAAAAACTATTATTTAACAAAATTTATGAAATTATTATTTTATTATAAAGTATAAATCCGGATTTGCAAAATCCGAATCTCTAATTTTAATCGGAATTCAGATTTCAGAAATCCGAGTAATATAATTCTGTCCACAAATATTCTGAAAAATTTAAATTTGTCCACGTTTATTTTATTTAATTTTTTTTGGGAAAAAGCCCGTAAAACCAGTGAGAAAAAAGTTTGGAGGGGAATTTTGTGCCATACATCTAATGATTGTCCTGATTTTCCGGCGAACATAGAGGTTTCGACAACAACGATCCCAAGTACAATTTCTGACAAAGACAAACAGCCAATCAGCCAAACTCCTTCAACAATGGAAACTATTTCTCAAGCTGATTCATCTTCATCGACTACGGTCGGATTGCAACCGCCGGCGGGAATCGGAGATTGGATGCAAGCTCCCAAAAAAGTTTGGAAGGGCCCATCCAGAAACTACAGCCCAACGGTTACTGACAAGGAGAACATTGCGTTCGTCAATAGTTCCAGATTTGCACCTCTGTCAGATGAGGGAGCCACAGAGGAAGTGTTGGCTAATAATCAACCGCGTAATATTTTACCTAATGGAGCTAGATCGAGTGGATTAAAAAGGTTCGAACTGGGCTCACCAACTCTACAAACACAAAGACCCAAAGAAGCAAAAAATGGGGCTAAGAGGAAGAATGAGGTGAGAGACTCGACATCGTGGTTACCCAAAAGAAATCTAACTAAAGAAAACACGGATTCACTTAATGGGGCTTTGAAATTGTCATGAATTCAAGGGTCTAATTGTAATTATGGTATTGATAAAAGGCGATTGGCAAAGAAAGACGAAGTTTTGGGCATTAGAGGCATTTACTGATATGGAAAGTGTGGGTTTCTGACCTCTCTGAAATTGAAATGGAAAGTGTGGGTTTCTGGCCTCTCTGAAATTGAAATGGAAAGTGTGGGTTTCTGGCCTCCACCGTTCCACCAACGCGGTAATGAGGCCTAGATCAACTCTTTTGTACCTACCTTTATGATCCCCTCAAAACCGGCTCTACTAATGACTTCCTTAACCTCCGGTGCCGTATTTTTGTACAACGCCCAAAAATCGCTGTCGTACCTACGGCCCTTGAGGCGGAATGTTTTAATATCCGGTATCTTGTTCTCATAGACAGCTTGGGACCTATGCTTTGTTTGACGATATAGCATTTATCTGGTATAGGTCCCGGGTGAAGATGTTTAGGTTGATAGTCATATTGCGAGCCCGATGCCGGCGTCGCCATTTCAATCCTACATAAGGTAACCAATACCACTTCAATCAAAATAATGATGATGCGCAAACCAAATACCATATACACTCGGCCAAAAAAAACAATTCAACCAAACCATAAACATTCAGCCAAATAACAAAACTACCAAACGATGTACACTCGGCCAAAAAAAACAATTCAACCAAACCATAAACAATCGGCCAAATAACAAAACTACCAAACGATGTACACTCGGCCAAAAAAAACAATCCAAACCATAAACATTCGGCCAAATAACAAAACTACCAAACGATGTACACTCGGCCAAAAAAACAATTCAACCAAACCATAAACATTCCGCCAAATAAACAAAACTACCAAACCATATACATTCGGCCAAATAAACAAAACTACCAAACTATATACATTCACAATTCACAATTTACACAACTATAATCCAACACAAACACTATATCAACACCACTAACATTCCCAATTCACAATTCACACAACTTAAATCCAACACAAACACTATATCAACACAAACCAACACAATTCAAAATAAACTAAACCACAACAATACACATTAGAAAAAAAAAGGACTCGGATTTCACAAAGAAAAAAAAAATATTTGACAAAAAAAAATAAAGAGAGAAACAAAAATCAACAACTTACAGTGAGGAGTGGAGGAAGTCGGGAGGAGTGGAGGAAGTCGCCGGAGGTGGAGAGAGTCGGAGGGAGTCGCCGGATTGCAAGGATGGTCGCCGGATATCCAGAGGGTGGAGGGTCGCCGGATTTAGTAGAGGGAGTGGAGGGTCGCCGGAATCTGGAATTGGAGTCGCCGGGAGGAGTGGAGGGTCGCCGGATATCACAGAGGGAGTGGAGGGAGTCGCCGGATTGAGTGGAGGGAGTCGCCGGAATTGAGTGTAATTGGAGGGAAGTTTTTAGGGTTTTTAAAATCTGGATTTGGGGGAAAAATGGGAGGGAAAGAGTTGACCTGCTATATATAGTCCCATCAAACTCGGATTTATCTTCACTGTTTCCCTCAAATTTCAACTCTCGGATGGTTTCACAAACTCGGATTTCTGAAATCCGACTCCTTTGCAGATTGAAAAAAACTCTGAGCTCGGATTACTGAAATCCGAGTTATTACTGTTTCTCCTCAAATTTCAACTCTCGGATGCTTTTCACAAACACGGATTTCTGAAATCCGACTCCTTTGCAAATTCAAAAAAACCTCTGAGCTCGGATTTCTGAAATCCGAATCTCTCCTGTTTCTCCTCAAATTGCAACTCTCGGATGGGTTTCACCACTTCGGATTTCAGAAATCCGAGTCCTTTGCAAATTCAAAAAAAACTTTGAGCTCGGATTTCTAAAATCCGAATCTCCCCTGTTTCTCCTCAAATTGCAACTCTCGGATGGGTTTCACCCATTCGGATTTCAGAAATCCGAGTCCTTTGCAAATTCAAAAAAAACTCTGAGCTCGGATTTCTAAAATCCGAATCCCTTAGGAAACCTTGCAATGATGAGTATTTTGTACAATCCGAAAACCTGTTATGAAAAATAGTACATATTTCATCACACTTTACAATCCGAACAATTCAATGTTCACATTACAATCCGAATTTATCAATGTTCGTATAAATTTATTAAACACTAAATAACTTGCAAGAACACTAAATGACTCTCAATTCCAGCTGTCATTCACAGGTCTTCTATCTACTCTTGGGTGCGAGAACGGACAAGAATTGGCATCATGACCTAGTTGTCCACATCTCCAACATTCCCCCCGGCTCCGGCGTCCCCTGTAATCCATTTGCATTCTATGTCTCCTTTTTTGTCTTCGTCCCGGTCCCTCATGCAACACAAGACGCTCATAATTCGGAATGATGTTCCAATTGACCATCGGCCATTGTTCCTCATCGGGAACCGGAACAAAGCCAGTGTAATGAAATTGTCTGCGCCACGTTGGAAGGCGCCACACACTATGGTATAGATCAATAGGCCGATCCCCTTTTCTCCGACAAACTTGGAGTGCGTGCGTACAAGGCATCCGGTACTCTTGCCACTTCCTGCACGAACACCTATGTTCATCGTAGTTCACCGTATGCAGAGACCCACCCCTGCCACTTAGGCGTGTGGCAGTAACAACACACCACATAGCATCATCACCATCGAAAGGGGTGGCTTCAAAACTGGCTGCTTTGTCATTCATTTTCTCGTATTTTTTCCATAACTCAGGAGGGATCGGTGTCATACAATTTCTCGCAGACAATTGTTCTTCTCTATAGAATTTAACAGTTTTGCGAAAGGTTGCATCGATTAAGGCTCTAATTGGTAAAAAACGGATCCCTTTCAACGCATTGTTGTAACTCTCAGAAATGTTGGTTGTCGCTATGCCCCAACGGCGAAGACCGGCTTTCAATCAAGCCCAGTTACTCCCTCCAATCCCTCGAAGATACTCCCATGCAGCAGGTTTGAATTCAATAAGCTCTGTCCTCATACAGTTGTATTTCACTCTTGAAAGCGTCGTGCCAATCTTCCAACATAACCGCTTCACCTTTTTGCTATTATATCGCGACACAAGATTGCTGCGAACGCGGCGGAGGCAAAGAAAGTGCCCACCATCACCTAAATCACGCCATTCATCCATCTGTGACATTGCGCTCAACAACCCTGCATTCCGGTCGGATATCACACTTACGATTCTATCATACACAACCCACAACCTCAAATTCCTCATAAAAAATGTCCAACTCTCTACTGTCTCCTCATCAAGAATCGCAAATGCAACCGGTAAAATGTGCTTGTTTGCGGTATAGACCACCGCAACAAGCAATTTACCCTTGTATCCACCACGCAAAAAGGTTCCATCGATACAAATGACCGGTGGACATTCAAAAAATGTCTCAGCCACCGGTGCAAATGACCAGAAGACGTATTTAAATGTCCGGTTTCCCCTGTTCCAACTTTCTTGTCCCTCCTTCCATTCCCACTCTACTACAGTCTCAGGATTAGTAAACTTAAGCGCAACGATATACCTAAACAACAACAAGTCATTGTTAAAATATTTCAATACATGTAAAAATAAAAATACTAAAAATATTTCAATACACGGATAAAAGTTGATATTTACCGTGGAAGTTCTTCGAAATTGGAGGTCCAATCACCATAGACCGCTTCTATGGCTTTCCTCCTCCCGTGCCACACCCTTTTTATGGCACATTTACTTTCAATAAGGTCTTCACATCTTTCTGTGCCGAGGCTACCGTATACTCTACGTTGTCCTCAACCTTTCTCCTGATGAGTCTAGCAATCAAAGACGCGTCCACACACCGATTGTCATTATCATTCACAGGAGTCATGCAATTATGTGCATCATGCCATCTCACAATTTCATGAAGGCCGTGAGCTTTCAATGACACACGCATCTTCCACTCACATGGTGGTTCACCATCCTCACTTTCTACATTAAATGTTCTACACCGCACAGCCCACGTCCTTAGACTACTCGCGGCGACCGTATATTCCCTTTTGTGATGGATGTTCCATAATTTCATAGCATGCTTTGCTTCTGATTGAGATTTGAAACAAACACCAATGTCCATTCCTTCGGGCATCTCATCCCACATCTTAAGAGCAAACTCATCCTTGTCTACACATGAGGCATCCCAGTTCCCCATCTTACTATATACATGGCGTCGGGCGAATAGATTACTATCCCTTTCCTCATTTTCTAACCTTTCATCATCACTTTCTTCAAAATCACTCTCTCCGGAGACATCACAGTCTTCTTCGCTTTCACTTGGAGCTATGTAGTCGGAATCCGACTCTTCCCGGTAGTCATTTTGTGCAAATAAAGGTGTCTCCTCTTCATCACGGTTTCGAGAAGTACTAGCACGTTCCCCCCTTGGAAAACCACCAAATGACACGTTTTCCAAACTTGCTTCTCTTTCTTCTTGAGTGATATCTTCCAAATCTATGTATAAATCCAAACATGACATTGGATCTACACGGTTCATGAACTCTACATGCGAATCATTCTTGATCTTCACTACACGCCTACCACCGGGACTATCGAAAATCAAAGAAAGGTGGAGTTTCACGTGTGCTGGATCCCAGCCAAGGGTCATACAAATCTTACTAATCAATCCCTCATATGACAACCTTTCTTCGACAAACAAACCATCATCCGGCATATTCGAAAAAGTGTTGATGCTACCGTTCTCTATCACATACTTACTTGTATGATACAAATTAAGCATGTATGATACATTATGTGCCATTGATAACTGTTAAAAAAAAACATCAATAACTAATCATTTTTTAATAACAAAATCAACAAAATACACCATACATCCTCCATTCATAATTCAAATAACCTATCATCTCTAAAATACACCATACACCATACACCATACACCATACATACTCCAACAAATACACCATACTAAAATACTTATAAATCAACTTCGATATCTCATGAATAACTATGATTTCTCATCTCTAACCTCAAAATCAACACCTAAAACATCCAAACAACCAACCAACATAAACCCTAATCTATCATACATCATTCTAACAATCAAAATAACACAAAACTAAACTAAATAACATGGTTTTGCAATCTAACCTCTTTCAAATAACGATTTCCACGTATCTAGAGGCAAGAATGCATCAAAAACTCCAATTCGCCCTTGTTTGAGCTGCAAAAACAGAAAATCCAACTCAGTTCTCGAATGAGAACTGCCTGAATTTTTTTTCTTTTATAGCACGTTAAACTCGGATTTACGAAATCCGAGTCTGTAAGTAACTCGGATTTTCGAAATCCGAATTACGTTAGATTCGGATTTCATGAATCCGAATTTAGTTAATTGAGGATTATTTTATTAATTTTTTGGTCCTCCAATTTAAGGTACATGCCTATTTCCACCAACCAAAATTAAAAGCAGCCGGATTTCCAAAATCCGAATTCCTAAAACCGGACTTCCGGTTTTTTGTATTCAAAAATTTCGCGCCGCGATTTATTAATTTTTAACTAAACTCGAATTCCACAAATCCGAGCTTTACTGTTCATTTAAGAATTTTTAAAATACTATTGTTCAACAAAATTTATGAAATTATTATTTTATTCTTAAGTATAAACCCGGATTTGAAAAATCCGAATCTCTAATTTTAATCGGAACTCGGATTTCAGAAATCCGAGTAATATAATTCTGTCCACAAATATTCTGAAAAATTTAAATTTGTCCACGTTTATTTTATTTAATTTTTTTTGGGAAAAAGCCCTATGAAAGTCATACTTCTTTTATTAATTTAATGATTTTTACTGTCCTTAACCCAAATTTTCCCAAAAAATTATACTTGGACATCAAAACGACGTCGTTAACTCCTACATAAGCAAAAAATCTAACCTACCTTCACACATTCTCCCCGCCCCTTCGCTTGTTCCCATTCCCGTCGTTCTCCGACCTCCAACACCATCCTCAATGGCGACAATTCTCCGCTCTCCGACAACCACTTCCCCTATACGATCCTTTTCCTTCCTGTACTGATTTCCGATTTGGATTCGAATTATAAATAAACAAACTTTGCAAAGCCACAGTCACAGGCGTCGATGGTTCAATTGAAGAAAGTGGCAGGCTGGCGTCGATTGCTGCTGCGGCTGGAGAAAAAATAGGTGGTAGAGACTGAAGGATGTAGGTTATGGTTTTCTGATTCCCCCGTTCCCAATTCGAAATTTTCGCTTGTATACCGATTCCGAATTTCCTTTTTGTATGCCAACCATGTCTCCCAAATTTTCTCCTCCTCCCCCAATTACAACCGCTATTGAGTTCCTTAGCCTTGATATTATCTCCTGCAAGGAAGTTGGCTGCACCGACAGAGAAGGTGTACAAGCCATTGCCCATTGGTAAATTCATAAATGTGCAAGCACATGCTTGTATTGGAGCAAAACTGTAGGTGAAGATGTTAGGAAGCTAGAGCATAGGGTTCATATTGTTTGGGGGGACTCCTGGGAGAATAAGTGATATGATCAAAAGAAGAACTCCCATCAAGTTGTTAATTCTTGTAAGTTTATGGATTTTTAAATTTCTTTTTTCACTTTTGGCCTATTAATTTGAAGGTTTCTTGGTGAACACTTTGCAATTTTTTTCGTTGTAGGTCATGAAATTCTGTTATTTTTCAGTATAAAATTTTCTAAAAGTTGTTGGTTCTTCTGCTGCTGATATGAATCATTTTTTTTTTCAAAATCTCTACATAGGCTGGCTGTTATTGTATTGAAGGTACTTTCTCCAAAGTTGTATTGTATATTTGGTATCTTAATAAATTTAACTGTTTTATTCCAGGTTGTTTTAATCTCTGCCACCCTTCTGAATGAAATATTGGAGATAACGAGCAAATTTATGACAGATCATATTCAGATTCTTGTCAAACTTGATGAATTGACTTTGGAGGCAAGTGATATATATTTAGTGATTGCTTATTTCAAAGCAAAATTTACCAAAACTGGATGTTTGAGAACTAACTCATTTCATGTTGTCTACCATTATGCAGGGGATCAACCAATTCTAGGTTGCTGTGGAAAGAGAAGAGTGGAAATTTGATATTGTCTGTGATCTTTATCCTTTAACCATCACTCAGGCTGTTATTTTCTGTAACACCAAGCCGAAGGTAAAATCATCGATTCCATTCCTGTCTCAAGAAGAATTATTGTACTCTAGAAGTTATTTGGCTGAATTTGTTATTTGGTTTCGTGGAAGAATGCTTGCTTCTTCTTTCTTCATGTCTTAAATCTTTTTGTTTGTCATTATTTTATGTTTTGTGTACCAGCTGTTGTTTGTGAAACTTGGGATCACTCATTAAAGTGCATTTTGTCCAGAACAATGTCCTGGTTTTTACTGGAATACATGAAGTTCTGATGTCGTCTATTAACGACAACCTTGTTAAAAGAGCCTAGCTCCTGCTAACCTAGGACCATGAGAATGATTGAGTGGAAATAAGCTTTAGATCCTGCTAATTATGTGGTAATCAACTTGGAGTAGATGGGACCTTCTACGAAAGTAGGACAAATCGGCATTGAGAAATTAAAACAGAATGATTAAAGGTGGGGAAGATGTTGGCTTGGAATTTGATTATTTCAAGGAAGTGGATGATATATTATTGAAGAAACGTAGTGTTTTTCATAAGAAAGTTGAAGATAACCTATCTAAATTTACAAGATAATTACGAACAAGATAGGACACTCCGGGCTCTACGAAATTCAAGTGATAAGACCAACTCAAGCGAAATAAGAAGAAACGAATAGTGCTACCATTCCAGCCATTTTCACTTGCATTCAATGGTCAATTATTATGTTGGTATGCACGCTGTGAGTTATTCATTCTTCAGGAAGTTTAGTTGGTTTCCTTTCCTAACTACCGATTTACTATTCCAAGAAGCCTTAATTCTATAAATTATAGAGCAGCATTTTGAAATTCCTCTATGGATGCTTGGTTTTTGTTTTCTTCATCTACAAAATCACTACTTCTCTCTTCCTTTTTTATTTTTTTCTTTTTCTTTTTTCTTCTTTCTTATAAGTTTAGGACTTCGAAATTCCAAGTCCAGACATCCTTTCATGTTGAACGGCATCTGTAAAACTGTAAAGCATATGCATGCACAAAGCGTATCACGCACAATGTTAATTTTTTTATATCTCATACATTGGGTCCTATTTCTGAGTTTTATCAGGAAATGGAAAGCAAAGAGTTTTGCCTTCCGTTGTTCCGTGATGTTAGTGAAGCTTTTAGGTTTGGTTTCTTTACATGATTAGTGGGTATTAGTGGTGCTGGAAAAAACAAATTGATGGAGGCTTTGGCCCGAAGAAAGCCTGGCAGGTAGATTAAAGGAAGTATTAGCAATTCTGGGTACCCCAAGAACCAATCAACTTTTGCTTCTGTTAGTGGCTACTATGAACAGAATGATGTAATTCTCGTCATGTTATATTTGTCTGCTTTGAGTTGAAATCACGTTAAGCTGTCTCAAACCAGTGATTTTTCTTTTGCCTCCTTTTTTTTTAAAATTTTCTAACAAAGCAAGCATCAGTATCTTGAAAAGAATTGGAAAAGTCATCCTTGGCCTCACTTTCCTGTGTGACAAACACCATAATTAAGACCCTTTATCCCTTCGTGCCAAAATGTTAGTTGGTCATGCTTGTTGAACTAAAATAATACAATGAATACAAATTTTTCGTTTGGGCCGGAACAGAGGGAGTGAGAGATAATGAAATTCGAATGACATTGAGATGCAAGTACCTCTCTAAAACAGCTGCAAAAGGAGCAAAAACAATAGCAGCAAAGAGATTTCTGTAGATGGAGAAACCAAAATGACTCATTCCTTTGTTTAGAGCAGCTTTGGCAATAATACCAGAACCTGCATATCCAAACTGCAGGAATATCACTGCCAAATACGGTTTTGCCTGTTTCAACAACTCCATATCATACATATGTATCAATCAAAGAGTTATATATATATGGTGGGAGTAAATCTGTGGTTTATCTACAGGTTGAAAAGAAATATAGCCATGGAAATCACTTTTTTATTGCTATGAAAATGAGGTTAAAAGTATTCTTGATTTTTTTTCTCATTATTTCTTCCTGAGCAGCCGCAAATTCACTTAGGTAGTGACTGACAACACAGTTGTCGTCCTTGATTGTTCAAGCCAATAATGGTATTTTCCCGTTTAACTAATTGTTGCGTTTTCACTTAAAAATGCATTTAATTACTAGGAATCGTCTCTATAGCTTATTAGGCAGATTTTAAATAAATCAACAGAGTTGAATGTGCTTTATTATTTGTTTACTTAAAGGCTGGTTGAAGTCTCTTTAACTCAAAGATCTACTTGACTCACAAAAATCCCAGTTTCCTGTGTCTATGAATGACAGATACTGTTGTAATTCCTCTGTTTTCAGGTTTGAACTTCAACCTTAACAATTCGGACTATTCTCATGCGACAGTAATACGATTCCAATCACGTAAGATCCTGTTGACGTTCTTAACCGTAAACTAAATTTATCACCTTATGTTTCGTATACTTGCTTACTTACTACATTGCTTGGCCCTCAAGATGTTCATTGAATCTTCTGAGTATAATGACGTAAGTAGTTGATTAATCATCATCTTTCGTTATGGATTGTTTTCTATTAATTATCAGCAAGCATTGCTCAATTTCAAAATCATTAAAATTGTAGCTCTACAAGTCTGCTTGACATTGTTGTATTGCATTGGATATCTTGCCATTTCTAGCTATAAGATAAAGAATCTTAAAGTACACTAATAAAGATGCATATAGACTTGAGAATTCAGTGTTGGGGTTATGGAATTTCCTTTTCTCAACAGTGCTTTGATTCTGAAAACGATAAGCAATTCAAATCTTTTGTCATGGCTGCTAACTCATCAGTCAGAGAGACCAAGTTTCAGATTGTGTTTTTGTAACTTAATGTGCATTATGAGAATTAGTTTAACTCCAGCTAGCCCGAGAGGCAGGGACAAAAAGTTTATACATTTTCTTTGGTCTATGTAGATTTCGCGATCCCAGTTTCAGCCCATTACTGAAAAGGCCATTTCTCTTCATTTTTCCATGGATCCTGTGGACATAGAGCTTATGTAGCTGTTATCGAGGTTCAACTCCAACAACTACCTTTCTTTTTCAAGAAGCTGACTTTTCAAAGAGCATTTCTGCTAAATCCTAATATAGGCTTCAGATATAGGATTTTCGATGCTCATTTGTTACTGACTGATTGGTTTTAACTTTGATCTCATTTCATTTTCCACATTATGTACTTCCTACTGAATGACGAGACTGGATATTTTGTGACTTGCTAATATTTTGTTACCTCTTGTGAAATCTTAATTCAAATAGAAGGGGCAGTTTCTTCACCTTCGTTACATATCATAAATAGTCAAACTAAATAGATCTTGAGAAGACAATGAATTGAATTTGAAGAATTTATGTTTATAATGGAATATTAAAGACAGTTTTTTGGGAAAATGAGTCTCAGGACGTCAATGTCCATTGTTCAAAAATATGCAAGCGAACATATTCCTCACTATGACCTTCCAACCCTCACTGGCCAGAGATACAAATACGGCGAGAAACCAAACGAATGGCTAGATATGGTATTCAGCTCATTTTCAGATAAAGCAAGATACTTGGTAGTGATTAAAAGTCTATTTGGAAATCTTACAGAATTTTGATTGTCGTGAGGAAATCTGAATTACATAGGTCTTGAGCTCATTGTCAGATAAAGCAATACCAAGGCAGCAAATGCTTCAGCTTGTACTTTGGCATTGAAAAAAATGGTAGGTTTATTAGTTTGCTTGATTTGGGTTTATTAGGTCCGTTAGGTTTTATCACTCGTGGTTCAAAAGGGCTACAAATTATGCCAATCTTAAAAGTTTGAAAATACTCTAAAATGCTAAATATCACTTTGTTCATTCTCAAACACTTGATTCTAAATTTTACAACTTCATGACAATTTGTAAATTACAACAAATAACAAATACATGATTGTCATTATTTCTTAACTAGAAAAATAACAATATCATAATTAATCTACAACATAATACAAATAAAAAATCTACATTGCAATGCAAATAACAACTGGTCGTGCAACGCGCGACCCCAACCAAACTAGTAATTATAAAAAGTTTGGGACCCTGGTGCGGAAGACACCCCCGGCTTTATTTATTTTTAAAGGTTATGATTAGTTACTGAGGAAAAAATATAATCAGTTCAATTTCCCACTGCGTCTAAAAATTTTCTTATAATAATTAGAAATATTTTAATTAACTTATACACAAATCTTTAAAGCAAAAGTCTTTTCTATCCTCAAAACATGTAAATTTGAAGTAGTAAAAAAAAAAACAAAAGTTTTCCCTAAAATATCATCAAATTTTGTTTTTTAAAATGATAATTCATAATGATGTAAGATGTAAAAGCCCTTAGTAACACTAAATAACTACGGCCCAAATCCTGTATATTAAAGTTCATGTTTGATAAATCAATGAAACACTTAAAACTTATTGATTAAATGCTTAATTGATTAGCGTTTTTGATAACATAATATCATAACAACTTAATTGATTAACAACTAATTAATTAAGAAAAAAAAATTTTAAGTACGTTTAATATTTCAATGTAAGATATTTTAATAAATTAAGTGAGTCTGAAATGTTAGTACAAATATGAGTCTAAAAATAAGTGATAGGCCTATCACTTATATCTGAACTGAATTCTTGGGACGATTTTTTTTCTATTTATTTACTTTTATGTTTATACTTTTGATGTTTTATCTTGAAACATTTTTATTCATCTTGATGTTTAATTATAAATTAAAATATATATAAATGATTTTTATCTAATAAATATTTGTTTTAATATAAAACTTAAAACCTGAATAAATTCCGTGATCAATATATATTTACCATAGAATATGATATTTTTTGATAATAATAAAGATATGACATTATTATTATCTGGAAAAATAATTACATAATAAAATAAAAATATTTTTATTACATAATTTTATAATAATATTACTATTTTTTATTATCATAGTTTCATATAATTCAATTATTTTTTTTAGATAACATTATAAGTCGAGATACTTTAAATTTCAGTGTTTAGACTTCAGATTTCAGACATTTTATTCAGCTTTCGGATTCTGATTTTTATTTGACAAGACAAACTTAATCAGTTCAGTACTTATGATTCAATCTTCGTATTTCAGACTCCAAAACCAAGTCAATTTTTATCAAACGGGGCCTAAAACAACTCAGTTTTAGGATACATGTCATGGCTTAATCAATAAGAAAATTAAGAAAATCAAACTTAATTAGATGTAGTAATTTTTTTTGTAGCTTAACAATTTCACTTATTTACCTGTATAGTCTTTAAACCAAAAAACTGTAGGATGTCAGATAACTGACGGGTACTTTAATTAGGAGCAATTATGGTAATCACTGACGGGTACTTTAATTAGGAGCAATTATGGTAATCACTGACGGGTACTTTGTTCTAAAACTTAAGGGATATACACACACATTTTTTAACTTTTTTAATCAACTCATATTATACTATTTTTCTGGATCTGGCCATGATTTCACCAATTATGCATTTAACCTAAGAATTCATTTTTATAATACTCATCCAAATGCAAGACACAAAAATGATTTGATGAAATTTTAATTAAATCTTATCATCATATCCAAAAATATATTTTTTTTTTCAAAATTCAGATGTCATATCAAATATTCCCTCCTACTAGAACTATTTATAAATTTCACTCAAAATATCTAGCTCATATATATATATATGTATATATTCATTTATATATGTATATATATTGTCTTATAATACCTATAAATACGTAATCAAAACTCGTATGAAAATCACGCAAAAATAACGTCCTGAATAAAATTGATAATTTATGCGAATCTCAGTGAAATATGAAAATCGACATGTGTGGAATAGAATAGATCGGTATAATGATGTGGAAATGTCCATGATCGAGTGTATGATAGACGAATAGATAAGTTATATATGTCAATGTAAATATTATGATTATTTCATATGACTTTGTTTTTTTTTTTTTTGAATGGGTATTACATTTATTTTATACTTCATACATGAACCAATTTTTCCCCCTTTATTTTTAACGCATGTGTATTTTATTTGTGGGGGATTTGTTTGGTGAAGGCAGGGATGACCGAGGTTAACATGGAAAGCTTTGCACTACATCGGGGTCAAGGTACTAAGACAAATTCTTTTTTTTTTTTCTCTCAATTTTATTCTCATAAGAATATCTAAAAGTGTCATTTTATTAAAATCTTTCTATCTTCTAGGTATTATATTAGAAAGATGGAGCAAAAGTTGAATAATATTTAAAACTAAAAGATAGATACTCCGGACACCATTACATTAAATTTTTTTAAAAAAAGTTGTTTGAAAACTGATATAGTCCATAAAAAATGGATGATTGTATTGGGAAACAAATATTTGACTAGATGATACGACCATTAAAGAAATTGTTGATTTCAAAATACATTTTTATTCTTTAACCTTTTTTTATGATGATTTATGTTTTTGAATTATTTTTTCATTTAAAGAAATCAACAGTGATTACCCATTTACTCCCAGAGTAACTCAAACCCCTGACTTATTGAAAACAAGAATGTGTCTTACCAATAGCTGAACTGAAAGAATAGTATGAGTACTATAAAAAGAGAAAATACAAGACACACAAAAGAACAAGACGAAGAAAGATTAACTTTATTTATAGAAGTTTGTATGTGACAATAAAGGGGGAATCACAAAGATCTTGATGTGCTCTAAGCGTGTAATCACTGTCCTTATTACAATATTTGCCCCCACTATGTTGCAAAACCGGGTTTGATTGGCAATTTGTCTCTAGGATATGAAAAGCACAAGAACATGCAATTTTG